GGAGCCATTTGTAATTTTAGAGTCTGGAAGGAAGAAGAAAATGTGGTGTCCCTTGACTGGTGAGAGCCTGAGTGGAGCAGGGATTAGTTGCTCTAAACTAGCAGGAGCTGCTTCCAGAGTGGGTTTGATGCAAGACTGGATCATCTCAGTGCTGTTCAAGTGGCTGGGAGCAGAAGGCAGGTCTGGGACACAGGGTGCATCAGCCTTTGCAGCTTGGGAAATTGGATTAATTTGCTCTTAGCCCTGAGCAGTTGTCCTCAGACTAGTCTATAAACTGCTGGTGGTGGACATGAAGGTGGTGGAAAGCTCCTGAAGCCAATGTGTGCATTGCTCTGAGCCTCAGCCTGCTGGAGGAGCTGCTCTGGCTGTGGGTCCAGGGGAAATGCAGAGAGCTGAGGCTGCCCTTCGGGCACAGCTCTGGCCACTGGCACATCTGGGCTGTGGGCACAGCTGGAACTTCTTCCTGCACCCACGCTAAGCCAGCCACAGGTGAATTCAGCAGTGGGCTCTGAGCTCACCACCTAGGACAGATGATAAAGCCCTTCCTGGGAGTCTCTGTGCTGAGGGAGACGTGTGTCCCGGGCCAGTGGCACACACACGGTGGCAGGAGATGTGTCCCAGTGACCAGAGCTGGAGAGATATTTGCTGTTCTGTCAGTGCTGCTGACTCAGTGTCTGATGAAGTCACTCAATACTTTATCTGGGGCAGCTCTGGCAGCGGGGTGAGATGCACCACGTGAGCCCAGCATTGCTAAACACGCTGCTGGTTGTTTGGACAGAGTATCCCAGGAGCTCTTCCCTTACCCGTTACCCCATTCCTCGCTGCTGCAGTCACTGCCTGGGGAGGAGCTTGATTTACTCGCTGGGGTAATAGTGCTGGGACTGCTCTTCATGGTGATTTTGCAGACTGAGCTCATTTTTGCGCAGTAAGAGCTCCACAAAGCCCTCAATAAAAGGGGTAGGGGTTTGGTTACACGCTCTGGGCGCCAGCCTGGCTGTCCCAGGGGATGTGGATGGAATGGATGTTGCTCTCAGGCACTGGATACATCCTGGTTTCGGAGCAGCCCTTGAGCTGAGATGCAGAATCAGGTCTGTGATGGGATATAAGTTTAGCACCTCCCTGATAACCATTGATAACTGGATTTACCAACCTTCAGCCCAGGGGAGAGAAGTAGGCACCATTCCTGCATGTTTCCAAGGCCTTTGTTCAGAGCCATAATCCATGCTCTGAACACAGATGGAACAATTGATGGGGCAACTGCTGGTAACAGGCTCAGAGTTTTTCCTCCCCTTAAGAGAAATGGATTTCTCATCTCTTTTATTCCTCATCTGCCTCTCCCAAACCGGAGGAGATCTGGGCCCCTTAAGCCCTGTTCAGTATCACTGCAGCCTCACTCCAGGCAGGGCTGTAAGGGGAAGCTCTCGGATCAGTGCATTTTCCTGCAGAAAACAGACACACTTTTGGGCAGCGTGCCTTTCAAAAGCAGCAGCTTTCAGCTAAATCTCACTTGGACAAGTAAAAGATACTACCTTTGCTTATGAACCTCACATTGCTCATATCCTCAAACACTGGTGTTTCTTTTCAAGCCAGAGGCAGAAGGTTGTTTTCTAGCCTGTTTTATCCCACTTCAACATCTATTTCCCTGCTGTTGTGTGTTGTGTTGCTTCAGTGCTGTAGTCCTGGGCTCCTGCTGCTGGATGGCCTGGAGGGCTCTGGGAGAAATGAAACCTCCCCATGCCCTCTGTGCCAGCTGGGGGTGGTGCTTTTCCCCAGGAAGGTTCTCCCTTTATCTGGCTGACAGTAAGCAGACCAACTAAAGCAGGGCTGTTTTTACAGTCACTGCAAGCCTGGATGTGGGATTCACTGGAAAAGCTGCTATGATGTGGCCTTGCCAGGTGTGTTCTTGGCAGAGAGGCAGGAGCTGGTTCCCAGGACCCTCGATGGCTTCTGCTTTCTTTCCAGTAAAGTCATGGACCTCCCTCATGTAACAGCAGCCAGAAGTGAAGCAGACAGCCCCAGAGCAGGCCAGTGGTGATGGGCACAGCTGGAGCTTCATCCTGCCTCTCCCCTGCCATCTCTTCTTATTCCTGTTATGCTTTCGCTGTTCTCCTTCCCATTTTTAAGGCTGCTCTCCCGCCACATACGTGGTTTGCTGCCCTTCCTATAGGATGTGAGTCAGTTGTGATCTGCATTTAGTCCCCTTGCAAGTCCCCCAGCTGGCTGCACTTATGAGTGGCCTATTGCTCCAACAGGAATTCACTGACAGGGAGCCATGTAACCCCACGGGAATGGGGCTGGGTGGAGGCTTAGGAAACCTGAACCTTGCTGCCATCTGCCCTGGCAGGCTGCTGGCCACTGGGTAAGTCTCTTCCCCTTTCCCTGTCTCAGATTTCCCCATCTGTACAGGGACAATGCCACTTCCCTCTTTTGTAAAATAATTAACAACTGTGGATGGAAAAAGGCAATTAAGAAGCCATGTGTTGTTAAGAATTGGACTCTGCTTTACATTGTGCAAAGGTTTTAATTTCTTCCCTTTCTGCGTGAGCATTTTTGTTTTGTTACGGACTGAAAAATGGAATAAGAAAAGTATGTGTGTGGGGGGGGGTAGTCTTGGAAAAGACAGCACTAAGGTCAGGAAATAGGTACGGCAAAACAGAAATTAGGGCAGAGGCTATTTTGCTTTCATGCATATCAATGCAGCTTTAAAAGCAATTAATTGAAAAAGGAGGAATTAACACATTTGAAATGCCTTTTTAATGATGCACTGAAGCCAGCAGCGTCCATGCCAAATTTCACACTGGCTTGCCCGTTCCAGAGCCCAATTTACAATGAACTGCTGGAAGACAGGCTGTGGGATGGAGGAGGCTCTTGGCCAGCCTGCTAACTCCTGCCCTGGCCGCAGGCTGGCCGGGCACCAAGGACAGCAGAAAGGCCTTTCGGGAGCTCGGCTCTTCCTCGCCGCGCTGGCCCTGCCTTGGCAGCGCCGCTCCATCCCCGGCCAGTGCGCCAGGGCAGGGCAGCAGGAGGCTCAGGTGTCTCTGGCAGCAGGGTTTGCCCTGGTAGGGGCTGCAGGAGCAGTGCCACAGCTCCCAGCACAGATAGCTGGGCCGGCTGCTACATCCCCAGTTGCGTTTCTGCTCCGTGGCTTTGTTATGGGAACATTGATCTGTTGCTGGGATTAACCTCTCAGAGTTTCCAGTGGGCTGGTCTCGCAGTTATTAATGAAACTGGCTGGAACTTGTGTTGACCTTGGCAGAGGCCCCAGTTGGCTTGGAGGTAACTGGCAAAGGCATAATCTCTAATTGAGTAATCCAGGCTGGGGGAAGGGAGCGAGGGGGAGGACAGCAGCGGCGCTTTGGACGCGGCGCTCCGACGGGATGCGTGGGAGTGAGCGCAGCGCTCAGCACGGCGCTCGCCGGGGAATTAGCAGGCACAGCTCGGTTCCGGCACCCCAGGCTCCCTCCTGGAGGAAACAGGCCGGAATTCCAGGCCTGCCCCTGATTTATGGCTGTGGAACAATAGCGCAGAGGGGCTGGAGGATGGAACAAGCTGTGAGCGTCGGCCGTCCCTGGGTGTGTGTCCTCCCACAGCCTCCAAGCTTGCAGCAGGGATCGCTCCGGGCTCTCCCTTCCCCACGGGAGGTTGTTTTTCACTCCAGCAAAAGAGCTCCGGGCTTGTTTCTTGGGTTTTTGTGGAATGTCTGCAAGCGGGGATGGAGAGACAGAGCGGGTCTGGTTTGCCCAGCCGTGCATCTCTGCTGGGAGAGGGGGAGATGCTCCCTTGGCCAGCTGTGCCCACATCTGGTGGGGAGGGGCTGGCTGCCAGCAGGCCCTGCAGGACACCCAGGCAGAGCTGTGGTAGCACCGATGCTCAGGGGACACACCAATGCTGCCAGCACCCTCTTGCTCCATCCCAGTTATCCAGAGATGCAGAGACCTGTGCCAGTGCCTGGCTTGACCAGCCCAGTGGGAAATGAAATTCCTCAAACACTCTGCCATGAGAAGAACTTCTTGTCCTGAGGCCTTTGGGGTTCTCCACATGCTGTGTGGCCTCCCCACTGCTTCTTGGAGGAGTGGACTTCTGCAGAAGTAGCTCTAACCTCAGATCTGAGCAGTGAAATGAAACAATTTTAGTGGGTACAAACACACCTACGTCTTTCCTGCTTTTGTCCTCCTTCCCCTGCAGAGCACAGCAGTTCTTGTTAACTCTCCTTGCAGCTGGGCTCTCCCTCTGAAGCTGAGCCAGTGAAGTGGGCGCCCATCAGGAGTGAGTGGCGTGGGGCTGTTGAGTCCAGCAGCTCGAGTGGAGCTGGGGTTGTGGCGTCAGGAGGATCCTCCTGTGACGTGTGTGACACCCACCCATCTGCCATGTGCTTGCTCACACTGTTGCCTTGTGCCTGATAAAAATCTGGTTGCAAAAAAAAACCCTTTTTGGTGTGGGGTGGGGAATTTACGTTAGGGGAGCAGTGATTCAAAGCTATTTCTGGGAAGATGAGGGACGTGTTGGCATTCTCTGTCATTCCAAGCATATTTAAAAGCTGAAATATTTGCGTTGTTCACGTTGCCACAGCACAAACACTTCTGGCTGGATTTCCCCCTCTGCTTTCCTCCCTGCTCCGAAGATAAATTCCAAATTATGGGAGGATGGGATGAGTGTCAGTGTGTCAAGCCCTGCTCAGCTGCACATGAACACACACCTTTGGGAGCAGCTGTGCTGTGCAAGCAGAGTGGCTCTCCTGGCGTGCCTTGGCAGTCCATTCCATTGCCCACTGTGCCAGGATGGCTGCAGGAGGTGTCAGCAGCCTGTGCCATGCACCAGTGTGGACAGCAAGCCAGGGGAACAGCCTGAGTAGTGTCGTATCTGGAATTCCATCCCATGCGTGGATTTGTGCTGGTTTCATTTGAAAAACAGATGCTTTGGGGCATTGCATATTCCTTGTGAGATGTTTGGTTTCTCCAGCTGGACCTGGGCTGAGGGACGAAGGAAAGGAGCACCATGACTGCAAGACAACTGATTTTGTTCCATTTCTCAGCTGAAGCTCCTGTGGCCAGAGAACCGAATTATGGTCTGAGAGACTCGAGTATGGCAGGAAAAGCCCTCATGGGCTGCAGAAATATTCCAGAGGCAGGATATAAAAACCTTTGACCCTTCCCTGAGCTGCCTGCAGTAGTCCTCGAGCCACAGACAGCAAGGCAAAGGCTCAGTGCAGCTGGAAAAGCAACAGGAGAACTGATGGTGCCTCAAGCAGAGGTTGTTTCACACTTCTTCAGCTCGTTTGTGGTGATCGACATCCCAAACAACCTTTTAAATTGCCTTTCAAGCCACAGCGGTGGGGAAGGATGGTGTGATAAGGCTGACTGCTTCTCGGGAACCTGCTTCATCATTTACATAATTGGACTTTTCTGTCCCACTCAGTCAATATTACAAGGCTCGCGCAGTGCGACATCTCACCTGATCTGCTGGAGGGAGAGAAAGTCCCCTGACTTTGTGTGCCTCACCCCTGTAATTGGAAAAAATATTTCTGCCTCCGTGCTTGCAGTAGGCAGTGTGCTGAGCTGGGTGTGCTGTGTGCATTCTCCATCTAGGAAGTGTTTGTACGTGCTGTATGCACAATATGCTATATTTTATCTGATAGTAAGAATTCTAATGTGCCCTGTTTTCTCCTGGAAATGCAGGAGAGAGGAGAGCTACTTTGCTGCTTTGTCAGTGCTCAGGTGGGACTTAGGAAATAGTGTTGGTATGGCAGGAACTGATGCTGGTCTCCAGAGCATGAGGATGGTGTAGGGTGAGGATGGCTGTGCCAGCCACCATTTTTGCCTGTGCTCAACTGGTTGTGTTCATTTGTGTTAAAAAGAACCCCTCTCCTGGAATGAAAGTCAAGAGTTTGGCCCTGGTAACAAGAAGGACATCCCAGCTGTTTTCCCCCGCCCTTTGCAGTCTCCTCCTGATCTGTTTTCTTCTTTTCCCTGATGTTCTGGGAGGGGGTGTGGGTGCTGCTGGGCAAGGAGCGTTCCTGAGCTCCCACCAGATGCAGACACCTCTGGGATGGTTGTGTGGGATCTCTCCAGTTAGTGCAGGTGACCAAGCAGCAGGAGCTTGTTACCAATTTGCAAGCACGTACATCTCACAGATGAACTGCTCCTCCCTCCTTGTTCAGCATCCCTGCATACCCCTCCTACCCAAGGGTCTTCCTGGGAGCAACTTGGGTGACTTCTCCTTGGACGTACAGCACTGAGCACATTTTTGGCACTGTACTTCTCCATGGCTGGGAAGTGCAGCCCATCAGCAGTACTGACTCACACAACAAAAGGCAGTGAGTTGTGTCACCCATCAGATTGATTCTGGGCGCTGTGTTTTGAGGAGGAGAGTATTTCATGCTAATACCTTCCTTCCCAGCATGGGGTGGAAGCTGTGGAGGAGATGCAGCAGCGATCAGTGGTGTTTGCTGGAGGGGATGGAGTGGGGGAGTGATTTCGAGATGGATTTGGCAGAGATGAGGTGCTGCTCTTTGTGCCTGTGGTGGTGGAGCTGTAATAACATATTGAACATGGCAACAGCCCTTGCTAAAGCTCTGTGACTTCACGTTCGTGCTTCGTGGAGCTTCATCTCCTAACAACACCCTTACCATCCGTAACAGGAGAGGAACTGTCAAGTGCCAAAGGGCCTAGTTAAAATCACTTGCTGAGAACCTCCTTTCTTTTTGGACCTAAACTTGCTTTTTAAACAGAAAATCTCCTTGGCTGTGCTCTAGGCAGAGCACAGTGAGGGTGTTTTGGCTCTGCAGCCCCGTGCTGCCGGGGGGGCCGGGGGGATGGACGCTGGTGTGTGTCAGGAATGCTGGCTGCGTGCTCAGCAAGCAGAGAGGGGTTGTTTTAGGACAAGCTGACAGGCCCTTGGCTTGTTCTGCTGCTCTCGAAAAATGTAATTCTAATTCTTGGCACCTTTTTCCAGGAGGATAAGGAGCGAGAGCACAGTGGAGCCTGTTCCTCTGTCCTTGGAAATGGGCTTTTACCCAGAGGCAGAGCTGGCTCATGTGCTCTGTCCTACCCCAGGTTTGGTGGAGCAAAAGTAGGAACTAGTGGGGAGGAAGCAGTGTGGAATGAAATTACCTGAACCACCTCCTTTCAGTACTGATCTTTGTCTAGTTACTTTTTGGTCATCTCAGTGCTCTGAGAGAGCATTTTCTGCAGGTGCCAGTGTTCTGCCCAGGTTCTGCTTGCCTTCATCTGGCCTTAATCCTGCACCTGGTGCCCTTTCCTGAGAGGAAGAAGCACACTGTCCTCTGGCAGTGCCAGGCAGGAGGGGAGGAGATGGGCAGTGCTTGTGGTGTTTCCCAGTGCTCTGCTGCATCCTGAGGGATTCTCCAGGCTGCAGAGCCCGTGGCATCCTGCTCCAGCACATATCCACAGTGGATTTCTCTGCTGCCACAGCACTCTATCCCCTCCTCTGCCTGCACAGTAATGCTTCCTAGGCTTGACTTTGAGCAACCTGCTCTGGTCACTGCCCTAACAGGCTCTGATTTCTCTCCTGCTGTGCTGTCCCCGTGGAGCAGCAGTGATCCTTTCTGCCTGCTGATCTCCACTTTGTTCCCATGACTGCTTAAAAAGGAACCATTGCCTCGTGCAGGTCAAGCTGTCCCGCGTGGTTACGTGACCAAACCAAGCACAGGCTTTTATTTCAAGCTGGTTTTCTGGTCTGTGTTATTTTATCTCATGCCACACATCTCAGGTATGATGTAGAACAGATTGCCCCCAGCAGCTAATGTGTTTGTGCCTCGGCAGCAGACAGAGTGGCAGATGTAAACACAGGAGCGCTGAAGGCTTTCAAACACTAAAAACTCCCAAAGAATAGGCAGGTATGTGTATATAAATATATACAGTGCATTATATGAAAGGCTTTCAATATATTTGGAGAGAGATTTGTAAATTTCTGAATTCGTGTGTGTATACTTTCTGTAGGTTTTTAGGTAAATGGAAAGCCTACATTTTTATCTATTTCTATATATACATACATATCTATATATTTATATATGCTGCTTCCTATTCTTTAAGCTGGTTTTTTTCAAAGGTTTCTTCCTTGTTCAGTTGTTCTGCCTTCAGCTGCCGCAAGGAGAAAGACTCCCAGTCTTGAGAAAAGCTAAATACTGATTTGAGTCAATCTGGGTGCACTTGGAGACATCACTAGTGTTCATGAATGCAGCATAATCTCTGATTGGAGTGGGGAAATTTCATCATAAAGGCCCCAAAAGGGAGGTTTATTATTGCTTTCTTCCAAATGCCTGAATTTTATTAGCTTCAGTCATTCTTGGCAGGGCAGTGGAATGGGATTTTATAGTTAGCAAAGGAAAAGTAAACACAGTAATCATTTCACAGTCCTGTGCCTGCCAAACCAAGATGGAAATTCCAGCCTTGGTGGGAAGCTGCTGCTTTGCTAACAGATAATAACAGATTCACTGTGGACTTATTCTTGCTATGGGAGCTGAGATGTTCAGGTTTTTCTGTAATTCCCTGGTCTGGGGAAGCAGAGGTGCTTCATGGTTTTCTGCAGGAACAGGCTGGGAGAGGTTTGTGGTTGGAGCAGCTCCCACAGCCATTCACAGGTAGAAGTGGTGTTTCTGCTCTGGGCCTTTGGGAGCTGCTCTGTCCCCTGCTCCTGTTGATATTTGGCTTTTCCATGGTCAGTCTTGCTCTGATGGCACAGCTGAGTGGTGCTGAAGGTGTGACACTTTGGGACACCCTGATGCTCCCGACACCCTGAGCCCATCTCTGCTGCTGAATGGGGGCAGGGTTATTACGGCATAAAAACTCTCCATGTAAACCCAAAACTCTCACTTAAGGTTTATGTTGTGTGTTTTCCTGGGCTTGTTGAGGTGCAGGGCTTGGCTGCCAGCTGAGATCTGGAGCAGCAGATCCTGCAGTGGTTCCTGGTGCTGGGGGATGCTGTTTCCTCCCACTGTCCTGCCCTGCCAGCTGGGGATGGTGCTGGGGATGGCCAGCACCGTCCCCTGCTCAGGATACCACCTCCTGATGGAAAACCATGCGGAGCAGTGAAGGAAATGGCTCCTCAAACAAGGACTGCTGCTGGTGGAGTCCTCAGGCAGTGGAGAGGCAGGCAGAGGTGTTGTCCCCACCGTGTCCCTCATGGCTTTTACAGCTGGGAGGAATTTGGTGTCCTGAGAGCACAGGCAGAGCGAGCTGTGCGTGAGTGACCCTGAAGAGGTGGGAGTGAGGAGGTGGTGACGTGCAGCTGGCAGGCACAGCTCGCTGGGATCAGTTAGGAGCAGTTACTTCAGTTTGGGGAGTTGACACAGTTGGAGAGGAGCTGTTGGGGCTGAACATCCTCCAGGACATCATCCTGGGACTCCTCATCCTGTGCTGTGAGTCTTAGGAGAGTTGTTGGGAGCCTTGGCTTGGTGCAATGGCTCTTGCATGCAAGAGGAGGTCTGGGTTGTCCCACAACACCCCTCAGCTGCTGCTCAAACCATGTTAGATCTTGTTTGCGTTTCCTTTTTCCGTCAGTCGTCTCCTCCTCAGTAGGCAGCTCGATCTCTGGGCTTTGGGGAAAATCATTTTAGGTGGTGGTTGTGAGAAAAGGGAGTGTGAGCTGGCTTTTTCAGCGTATCTCACTGGCAGCAGCAGTGGTTAAATAGAGCTGTCTTCAATCATTCCCTTCCTCCCCTCTGAATTTGATTCCCCTTCAAGCCGATTCCCAATATTGATGCTGTGTGCCATCCTGATTAACTGGCAGACAAACGGCTGCTTCCCGGGCTGCCCTGTGTGCATCCCGCTGGGATGTGTGTGCCTGAGGAGTCCCTGCTCCTCCTCGGCCTCCTGCCTCCTCCCCGCCAATAGCAGCAAATTTAAATGTTTCTGAAGAGCAACATTTCCATTTCAAAAGCTGCTCGTTCAAGTGCGTCTGGAGTGGGATTTCTCTCCCCCACTCCTCTCTGAATGGGAGCTTTAGAAGTCTCATTTCCTCTGCTTGATAACACCAGGCTGAGAAGGGCTTTTGTCTTTTCATTTCCCCTCAATTTTTTATTTTTAAATCAGTGAGGTTTGGAGAAGCTGCCGTGGTGGATTTTCCCTCCTCCCCCCCATCTTTGCCCATGTGCTGGAGGATGCACCTGGCATCACCCAGGGAATGAGCTGGAGCTTCCTGGGGCACAGCCCAGCTGGGAGAGAGGAGGAGGAGGAGGTTTGCTGCCACATCCATGCTGAGGGGCTCTGTGCTGCCCTTCCAGCCATCCAAACGGGCTCTGCTGGCCCAGAGCATGATGCTGCAGTCCTGCTGACTGCTTGCCCCTTTCCTTTTTTGGCTTTTCCACTTGGTGTGAAATTGTATTTTTTGTCGGGATGCTCAACAGAGAGCAGATGCTCTGCAGGACTTATGGGTGTGGATGTAGGCCCTGTCCCAGCAGTGCAGGGACATTTGTGCTGTTCACTGGAGTATTGCATGGGTAGAAAAAGGAATTTTTATTCTGCAGAAGCCTTTTTTACAACACTTGAGCTTGCTTTTCACATGGTATCTAGGCCTGGGGGACTTTCTACCTGCTTGATGGACAGCTGGGATTTGGCAGGGGCTATTCCAGCATCTTCTCTCAGAGGGAACTTGCCTGTTGGGGTTAACATGGACCTTGATGCTTCATCCCTGCCTGGTTGACATGCTGGAAAGACTCAGAACTTGCTTTTCTGCATGTGGAAATTGAAAGAGGATGAGTGGTTTTGCAAAAAAAAAACCCAAAAAACAAAACCCAACAAACAAACAGAAAAAAAAATGGGGGGCTAAAGCCTTTAGAGGCATGAGTGGTTGTTCCCCTGAGGTTTGTTGGGTTAGGTGACAAGGTGCTTCCTAGGCTGCTGCAGGAGGTTTGGTGGTTGTGCCTGCACCCCCAGGCAGGGGACCCTCCCTGCCTCCCTAAAGATGCTCCCTGAGCAGCAGGCACAAGTAGGAATGCAAAACCAGCCTCTGGTGATGATTCAGAGATTCCTGTGAATGCTGCCCAAAAATCGGCTGGCCCAGGGAGTGCAAGGGAGGTTTGAGCCCCAGCAAGGAGGAGCCACGAGCTCCCCATTACCTTTAAAATGTGGTTCTGCAGCCAGGCTGAGTGCCAAATTGGGCAGTTACAAATTTCCCTCCCTGCTTCAGCACCTCATGCAACCAGAGGCGTTTTTTACAGTTTGGTCCTTTTTAAGAGGCTTCAAACACGAGCTGGTGTGTGCAGTGTCAGCACGGGTGGCTGCTGGCTGAACAAATTACAGAAAGAGCATTAAATTGCAGATGGAGGAGTGGAAGAGAGAAGCTGCTCTGTGGGTTACTCTGTCAAGTTGAATTTGTGTGCTGGAAGCAGCAGGACCCTGTGTTTGCTGTACCTGTCCCCTGTTCGTGCCTGGGACAGGCTCTGCCTTGTCCTGAGCAGGTCACTGCTCCATCCATCACCTGCTGGGTGGGCTCAGCCTTTCTGTACCTGCCCAAACCATCCATTTATTCCTTGGAGCACTTGCTGTTGGCCTGGAATGCTCCACACGTGCCAGCACGGTCCTTCCATCGCAGCCTTTCCCTTCCCTTTGCAGAAGTGAAAAACCTTTCCTGCAGCTTCCCAGAACCAGGACTTCACTCTGCTTGCCTGCTCAGTTCCAAGTCATTCCCCTAAGGCAAACACCAAGATGAGATTTTTATTAATTTTTTTTTTTCCCTTTGACTTGGACACTTTTTCAGTGTTAACAAAAGGCAAAAATCGCTGGCAGAGAGTCTTACCAGATGTATCAACTGTACTGAAGATGCTCAAAGAAAAGGTTCCCAGAATCTTTCTAAATGTTGCAGAAAGGCATATTTTCTTGTAAACTTGTTCTTGGAAGTGACAGAGTTGTTTTGGCTGAAATTCCCTGCTTAGGAAAAAAAAAAGAAAAAAAGAAAACAGATAAAAAATGCCTAAAGCCGGTATTCAGCATGGAAAATTTCAGTTCAGACTGTTACTGTTTGAACAAACTTTAAGGTCAGCTGAAAATCCAGGGATGCAGAATAGGCAGTGTTGTGGAATTCTTAATGAGAGGTGGAGCAATTAGCTCCTGGTTGTAATGAGTAGATGGGTAGGTGAGAATTCATCACTGCTGTAAATCAGTGGGGAACGTTCGCATTCAATGCAATTATTACCCACTAATGGGGAAAGGCAGGAAGGGAATGAAAGGCACAGCATCCATTTGTTGGGTAATGCCTTCGGGGGCTGTGGGAGTTTTTCTGAGTCAGGGTTTCGGGATCTGACCCGTTATTTTAGGCTGCCTCTGAGTCCGTGAGCCCAGTTTGGTGCTGCTGCTGTGGAATTCTGCAGAATTCTACAATTCTGAATTCTACAATTAATACAAAATTAATTAATTTTGTA